TATAATTAAGTTATAATTTCATTTTTAAAATATTAATTTTCATGAAAGTTTTCAGTGACTTTGGCTTTCCATTCATTCCGTATTATCATTTAATTTAAGAACTACATCCCAACCCTAGTAATTAAGGAAAGAGACCTGAGTGTCCCATAGCAGAAAGCAAATTCAAGGACAGCATCTGAATTCTCTCTTTTTAGATCCTTAACTGCCTGGTGTTTTCCGCTAGTCTCTTAGATCATAAAGGTAAATCGGGACCAAGTATCTCTTGGGGGAGTAAATTTGTCCAAACTCTTAACAGCCCCTAAGGAAATACTAAGCATTCTGTCCGAAATGAAGGAGGATCTATAGTGCTTGAGGTCCAAATGGAACAAGACGTCACCAGCCCATGAGATAAATCTGTGAGATGGTATTTTGGGGGTATGGTAAATTAAAAAATTAGGACAAACCATGATTTCCTTGATATGTAAGATTGTTAAGATTTTACCTCTTTTCTTAATAGCTTTCCTTTTTTTTTTTTTTTTTAGCAACATAATCTCCTGAGTTTTAGCCAGGCATATGGCTACCAAGCTAGTGATTATGTTTCCCAGCCTTTTTATGATTAAATGGGTATGTGACTAATTCAAGGCCAGTAGTAAGTGAGAAGGAATGAGTTATGTAACCTCCTGGTTAACTCCTAAAAAAAATGAAACTGTCCTCTTATTTGTCTCCTTCCTCATTTCCCTGATTAGAAGGTTATGGTTAGAATAATAAACCAGATTTAACTAGGTAACAAGCCAACGCAGAGTGAGTTGGAAGGACCTTAACTATTGAGACAAATCCACGGTGCTCCCCTTAGCCTTCTCCACTTAGCTTCATTTCTATCTTATTTAAGTCACTCTATGTTTGGGTCCGTTTGTTACACCATTTAACTTTAACTGTAATTGAGAATTTCTGATTTGGACTGGTTGCTTGTTGTAGGAAGCTATCTTCTGTTTTATCAAGGTTAATTAGCAGTGACCTTGGCCTCTATCTACTGGATGCCAATGGCACTCAGTAGAGAAAACTAATGTCTCCAGACATTGTCCTGTATCCTCATGGGAACTCTATTCCCCCCACTTCTTTAACAAAGAAATATAGTACCACGTCCCAGCTTGATTCCCTTATTATTTTAGAGCATGAAGATGGGAATTTAGCTTGCTAGCAACATGAGAAAATAGAATACGATTTTTGAGATATAAAGAAAAAGTTGATCATTCAAAAAATGTGTAAGGACTGTTTCATGAATGGTTTTGTCTACTGTAATCGAATGTCCAACTATACTGTTTTAAGGAAGGATTCTAGGGGAGAAAAGGTACTTCCAGAGTTTGTGAGTCCAAAAATGTAATGTCTTAATCAAGGACCCAGGTTAATTTTTATTTTCTTACATTTTTTTTTTTAACTGTCTTATTTAGGAGTCCAGAACGAAGGTAGCATAGTGGAGTGGACTTGGTGGGGAGGGATTGAATAACAATGAAATTTTTTTTCTCTTACGTTTTAAAAAGAAAAACTAATGGGGGGTGGGGTGGGCAGGGAGAAAAGTACAGCAATGAATGAATGGAAATCCAAAGTCTCCGTAAACTTTCATTAAAATAAATGAGAAAAAAACCCCAAACCCCAACCTTATCCTATTGAAAGATGGGGCTCTGGTGGCCATGTGAATAAAGAAATTCACTACCCACTTAAAGGGAGGATGTTTGAATCCACCACCTGCTCTATGGGAGATACCTGAGCCATCTCTTCTTGTACAATTTACAGACTTTGAACATTAGCTGAAGGTTCCAACTTGACAGCACTGACTACTTGACTAAGTCATTATGAGAGGGTAATCATGGTGGTAAGGGAGTAGCTCTGCAGGCAATAAATACTGTATACAGATGTCTCCTCCACATTGTGTTTTCATACATGACCTTCTTTGAACCTGTCTCCTAATCTCATAGCCATCGTGCTGGGCTCTCAAACACTCAGCTTCAGGGTCAGTGTCACAAGGAGAGAATGAGCCTAGACATGACTTTTGATAGGATATTTGTGCTTGGAGGATATTCTTTGATCATGTGGGTTCCAGATACAAAAGTCACAAAGTATTGAAGAATGCCTCTCTGGGACAGGACATCCCAACTCTTTGGCACGAGAGTTCACATCATTTTGTTGAGCTCTGTCCATATTAATAGATAAAGCCTATGCAGCAAATATGATAAAAGGATTTCATTCTATCCAATTATACTATAATTTTGAAAAATGCAGCTTGAGATATAAGAAAATGGAGAATGTCACTGAGAATGCTGACTGAGAAGGCATGATAAAACCACCATGCAGTGGAACAAAGGGAGAGGCATGGCTTTTGTCCAAAATACCCACTGACTCTAGTCTTGTCCTTCCTGAGATAGGTGCATTGTGTAAGACACGCTGAACTCTTTGGAATGCCTTCCTTTTTAAGCTTCCTCTAAATACTCAAATATGATACCACTGAGAAAGGTCTTGGTCATGGAGGAGAAGCTCGGTGTAAAATACAAGGAATGGAGGTTTTGGAGGATAGAAAGACAGAGGGTATGGACACAAGTGAGGAGAGTCAATTTCTAAAACAATTTCTGAGCATCATTGTTTCTAAGATGCCTGCAAGTTCTTATGTGGATTGGAGCCATTAAAGACATAAATCTCTATGCCAGTCACCATGGGCAGCTGCTTGAATCCTGAGCTAAGTAAGTGATCCAATTGCAAGGAAGTAAAAATTGCCCTTGATCTTGTGCTAATTCTAACTATACTATGGGTATGTAAATAAATGTCTGTTGACATGTTCAGTTACACGTCTTTGAAAGCGCTGGTGCTGTAGTAGTTATTTCTCTGTTTCCAATGTCTACAGACTTGAGACTAGTGCCTGGAAAACAGGTGTTCCCAATACATGATTACCACCTGGGATTGAAATCAATCACTAGTAGCCACATATGGATGTTTAATGGAAGGCATGGATTTCTGATTTTATTTTTATTTCTGATTTTTAAAATGTGCTTCTTATGGCCTCACAGGTCCTTTTTCCTCCTTTCAAGAGTCATTCTCTTTCATTATGTTTTAGAAAGTGGATTCTTTTTAAAAAATGTATTATAATTATTATTTTTAATTTTAATGAAAATTTACAGAGACTTTGGTTTTCTATTCATTCATTGTTGCACTTTTCTCCCTCCCCCCAGCACACTCCCCTCTTTGGAAAGTAAAAGAAAAATTCTTTCATTGTTATTCAATCCCTCCACCCAAGTTCACTCCATGATGCAGCCTTCATTCTGGACTCCTGTCATGACAATAATACCTAATCACATATCCCTTTTAAAAAGTTCACGCTCTCATCTGTTTCAATGCACCATAGATAATTTATTCCCTCTTTCTTAGTCTCTGCCTGTAACTGTGATGTCAGTCCCATTTTTCAACAGTGGCACTAGGAAGTATTTGTCCTTTTGTATCTTAGATATTTTACTCAGCTTAATGTCCTCCATGGTCACCCATTTTGAATAATAATTCATGAGTTCCTTGTTTTTCATTGCAGTATAGTATTCCATTTTGTTAATATATCACAGCATCTCTATCCATTCATTTGTTGATGGGCACTTAGGTTGTTTCCAACTCTTTGCTGTTGTGAACAAAGCCACGATAAAGGGGTGCCTGAGAAAGTGGACTCTTAAATCTCATTCTATCTAGAGGCATTTCAAGGAATCAGTGACCATGTTCTGTTGTTCATTGGCTTCTTCGTTTCTCCTGTATCTCCCCTGATTTTACAGGAAAGGCTCTGGGGAGAAAGGGCCTCCGGCCTTCATCTTTAAACCTAGTAATCTGACCCAAGACTGGTAAAAGCTATAGAGAAAGACACAGAGGTAGTTATTTTTTTAAAATTAGTAACAATTAAG